AAAGCTGTGAGATTATCAAACAGTCTCTGAGTGCATTTTTTTTAACAGGATAGCTTATTGGAATATAAACTGAATTTAGTGACAGCCTAAATAAAACTATGAGATGATCAAACAATTTCTGAGTGACTTTTTTAATAGGGTGGTTTGTTGGGATATAACCCGAATTTAGTGACAGCCTAAATAAAGCTGTGAGATGATCAATCAATTTCTGAGTGCCTTTTTTAAGAGGATAGCTTGTTGGGATATAACCTGAATTTAATCACAGGTTATGAATATGTGAGATGATCAAACAGTTTCTGAGTGCTTTTTCTTAACAGGATAGCTTTTTGGGATATAACCTGAATTTAATGATAGGTTAAATAAAGCTGTGAGATGATAAAATAATTTTTGAATGCCTTTTTTTTTAATAGGTTAGCTTGTTCGGATATAACCTGAATTTAATCGCAGGTTATAAAGCTATGAGATGATCAAAGAGTCTCTGATTGCCTTTCTTTAATATGAGGGCTTGTTGGGATATGACCTGAAGTTAAAGACAGGTTAAATAAAACCGTTAGATGATCAAACAGTTTCTGAGTGCCTTTTTTAATAGTATGGCTTGTTGGGATATAACATGAATTAAAAGATAGGTTAAATAAAACCGTTAGAGGATCAAACAGTTTCTGAGTGCCTTTTTTTAAATAGGATGGCTAGTTGGGATATAACCTGAAGTTAAAGACAGGGTAAATATAGCTGTGAGATGATCAAACAGTTTCTGAGTGCTTTTTTTAACAGGATAGCTTATTGGGACATAGCCTGGATTTAATCACAGGTATGAAGCTGTGAGATTATCAAACAGTTTCTGAGTGCCTTTCTTTAATAGGATGGCTTGTTGGGATATAACGTGAATTTAATCACAGGTTATGAAGCTGTGAGATTATCAAACAGTTTCTGAATGCCTTTTTGTAATAGGAGGGCATGTTGGGATATAACTTGAAGTTAAAGACAGGGTAAATATTGCTCTGAGATGATCCAACAGTTTCAGGACTTTTTTAATAGGATGGCTTGTTGGGATATAACCTTGATTTAGTCACAGGTTATGAAGTGTGATATGATCAAACAGTTTCTGAGTGCCTTTCGTAATAGGATAGCTTGTTGGGATATAACTTGAAGTTAAAGACAGATTAAATAAAACTGTGCAATGATCAAACAGTTTCTGAGTGCCTTTTTTAATAGGATGGCTTGTTGGGATATAACCTGAATTAAAAGACAGGTTAAATAAAATTGTGTCATGATCAAACAGTTTCTGAGTGACTTTTTGTAATAGGATGGCTTGTTGGAATATAACTTGAATTTATTTACAGGTTATGAAGATATGAGGTGATCAAACAGTTTCTGAGTGCCTTTCTTTAATAGGGTGGCTAGTTGAGATATAACCTGAAGCTAAAGACAGAGTAAATATAGCTGTGAGATGATCAAACAGTTTCTGAGTGTCTTTCTTTAATAGGATAGCTTGTTGTCTATATAATACTAAAACTCTGAGATTGTCTGTTTGCTTGTCTGTAACTAAATACAGCAAAAACAGCGCATAATAATGCCATATTTATAATGAAATGAGAATAGAAACAGAATAAAACAAGTTTCGTTAAAATCGGGCCACGGGTTACCGAGTTAGCCCCGTTTTCCGGGTCACTTTTATGAAAATTTCTAGATGAATTTAGGTACACTAGATGGCTTCACATATCGATTATCTATCTATCTATTCGTTTTCGACCTGATGAATCACTTTAAAGTATCTTCTATACAACAATATATGCACAACAGAAATTAAATGATGAGATGAAAATGTGTCATAACGGCGCATAGAAAGAACAACGATAAAATGGGCCTACAATATTATTGACTATTTGCAAATAGTAACTATGGAGACGGGGCCCGGCATGACCTGGTGGGTAAGGCGCTCGACTCGCAATCTGAGGGTCGAGGGTTCGAATCCCAGTCCCACCAAACATGCTCGTCCTTTCAAAGAGGGAAGGAT